GTAACATCTCCTCTACCATCATAATTACCTTGTGGTTTGCATCCAAACACCATCTCCTCTACCATCATAATTACCTTGCGGCTTGGCCCCAAACACATGGAGTCCACCCCACAAACTTCAACCGCACACCAACACAAAACGCAGAACCAAACATACCCCCCAAAGGGGAAAAAGCACACACACACACACACTTCAAACACACACCAGCGCAAAACACAGAACCAAACATACCCCCCAAAGGGAAAAACCACACACTTATGGATATGCGTACTGACTGACAGCGGCGCCACACGCCAGCCCAGGTTACCATTTCCTAAGGGTACAGGTAAGGAAACCTGAAAAGGAAGTGGAGGTCCATCAAGTTCAGCGTGGCCATCAAATCTAAAGGAACCACCGAACGATCGACCGACAGAATGACGTCGTCCGCTCACATCTGCATATCAAAAAGCCACAGCCCCATGCGTGAGTGCTGAGAGAAAACCGGTGCAAAGGCTGGATTTCTTGTTCTAGTTAGAAGCAGGGCCCAGGATGAAGTGTCTCAGGTAAAATTGCAGGTACGTCTGGCTGATGAGGCCAGATATCTGCACGCGCTGTGGCCGCTTCGTTGGACCATCGCTCACAGCACATGGATGGCCACCCTGCTAATGAAAAGCGAAACAATTCAAAAGAATCCCTGTGACTACAAGGGGCACGCACACACGCCTCCCCAAAGGGAGGCATATTTTGCTAGGCCAAGCCGGGAATGTCGGGTGAAACTAATGAAATTGACGACGTTCTCGGTAAGTTTGATACGCCGTCAAAGGAAGTCGTAGTTGACGAATAGCATCATCGTGTAATCGAGGGGCAACAGTATGAAGAGGTCGGTAAGGAAAAGGGGTGGAATCTCGTGGGTATTCATTGGCAATGCCGAGAACACGAAGCCGTCGGGAGTTGACATAATAGAGAACAAGGTCTTCAAGTGTGCAAGTGTGTGGGACTTCCCAGACGCGAGAGTCACCGGTGGAAGGTAAGGCCATCCAAAAGGCTGCGCGCTGCTGTCCCAAACGGGAGTAGATCACATCTTTAAGATCATCAACCGTGTACTCCTTGTTTCAAGTTGGAGGGTGTCGAGGGTCACGGTGATGTAGTTAAGCGGTTGATAAACAAGTAAGCTGATGTCCAGCTTGAACCGGATGGTGGAGAGATTTGGGATTTGGTCAAGCGTTTCAAAAGGTTGGCGTACGTCTCTCCAGGCAGTGGGGATCAACTGGGTCAAAGGTTCCGGTACTCGGAGTCCGGGTGAGGAGATCATCGTGAGGGCAAGGTATCACTGAAGTTGGAGGGAGCCAATGGCTGCGGTGAATTAAAGGCATGTAGGTGGGTATGATGTGGTCGAAGTGAAGTGAGGATAGCATCAACTGTACATCCACAAGAAAATGACGAAAGAAAAGCAAGAAAATGAAAAAAGGGCATTTTGTTTTGTTTCCGTGCGGGGAAGGCTGGAAAGAAGGTACATGGGGAAGCACGTACAGCCTCAACCCAAAGACTATATAGTACATCATACGCGGGACAGGGTCAGTCACGTTCTTCCGTAGTGGATGGAAAAGGTGGGGCCAAAGTAGTCTGTGGCGAAGTGGAGGAAGACGTAAGTGACATAGATCCAGAATCCGGAACGGGGACGTCCACACCAGTAGCTACAGGGGAGAGAGGCAAATCGTTGTTGTTGGGGTCGGATTGACCCTCGGCTGAATGTAAAGGTGGTGAGGTTTCCGGATTGGTCGAAGAAGCCTGAGGGTCAACTGCTTGACGAAGTTCATCCTGATAAGCTGTCAAGGTATAGACGAGCCCCTCAATGACGTGTTGTTGTTGTTGGGAAGCAGGGAGGTCCCGCAATCCGGGGGTGTTGGAGACATCGAGTTCAGAAAAGTGGTGAAGGAGGTTTTCCAGCATATGTTCCACTCGAGTATGTTCCAGATTTAATTTTCAACAGCCTGGCGTTTGCGTCCGCAGGGATGAGCTGCAGGAGTAGGGTTTTGTGCAGCAAGGCGTTGTTCCTCAGCTAAAATGGCACGTTCGTAATCTTCACAAGCCTGCCAAATGGGGAGGCTTTGGGTAGCGCCCAAAACGAGTTGCCAACCTCGAGTGCCCCACACGCGAAAGCGTTGATCGGCCCAATTGGAATAGGGATGTGTGTCCAAGTAGAAGCCATGGGTGGAACGAAAATAGGTAACATCATCATGATCCCAGCAAATGGTGCGATAATGGAACCAAGCGCGATAGAACCAGTATCGGGTGGTGCCATAGTTGCGACATGCCCATTCCTCATGTGGGGCGGCCTAGAAGTCTCCATGACTGCTGGCATGAACCTGGTTGGCGTAATCGGTGTAGTCCTCATTGTATTGGTTGTCAACTCGAGGAAGGCCAGGTAGGAGGGTATAGGATCAAGAGTTGCTGGATCAAGATGGGTGGTAGATCCCGGGGCCAAATCAACCGCAACATTGGAGCAATCGAGTCCGAGTGGGAGTGAAAACAAAGATGAAGTCTGCATCTGTTCTTCGGTCAAGGGAAAGGGAAAATCATCTACAGGAGCTTGTGTCGGAGAGGGACTCCCAGAGGCGTCCTGGTTGTTGTTGATGTCCACGTCGATGAAGCAAGTGGCAAACGGGAAGTCTAAACCAAAGGGCTGCGGAAAGGAAAAAAAATGTGGAACATGTTGCCGAAAACCCGAAAAAAAGGAACAAGGAACAAGAAAACAGCGCAAACAAAGTGAAACACAGTTTTGTAGGCCGGAGTGGTGTCGGATGAAACTGAGGTAGTAAATTAGTGAATTATAAGGGTTTGCCTCAGGTAACCGAAAATCCAGTGGAGGACGAGGAATGCGAAAACGTACGCGCTCACCATTGGGTTTCAGTATGAACCCACAAAGAACCGAAGGCGTGGGTCTGGTAGTAGGGCGCAATGTAGAGATTGTAGAACCTGATGAAGGTGGATCTGAGTCCCGGGAGATAGTCGACATCCGCAAAGAGGGAGGAGGGTTGTGGGTTGAGCTTTCTTCGGGAAGGTGGTGGAGACGATGACAGGTTCATCAAGATCTCGAAGGTGTGAGGCAATCGAAGGACGAGGTTTGTTGGTAGTAGCACTCGGTCTCGATGTCGTCGACGCCATCAAAGAAGAGCAAGAAAGTCCAGGACACGTGGACAAAGTGGGCCAAGAAGGTGAAACAACTGTCGAGCCACATGACTGGTAATCCGGAGAGAAGAAAGGTGAGTCACTTGGAGAAAGGTAAATGTGACATGAAAGTGAGAATCAACAAAAGAAACAAAGAACAGGTGAGGCATTGTTTTCCAGGTAAAGCAAGATCAGAAGTCGGGGCGGCTCAGAGTTCGAGGTCATGGTCAATGGTGACGGTCATGAGGTGGCTGTGCGTTGGAGATCAAGAAGATCAGTCCAGCGGGCTTGAATTTGAGACAAGGGTCTTTGGATTTTGCGAGCCACATATTGCCAACTGAGTCGTTTGTTGCATTTGAGGCTGAGAAGTAGGTCGTCATCTTGAGCGCTCCAATCATCATCCCAGGGTGTATCAGAGCGGGGAATTCAACGCCAGCCCTCCATGGCAGCATGAAATCTATCTTCTCCACAGTAACCACCAGTCCTGACCCATCTTGCAATTAAAAGCCCAAGTCTAAACAATTCAAATCATATAGATGCAAACTCTGACAGCCAAGTCTCCCAAAACAAGAGCTCCGATACATCAATCCAAGGCGTTCAGCCACACACTGCGCTATGTCCCCAGTGCCAAACATCTTGGCGATCCTTTGGTCTGCCACTAAAGCCAAGCAATCAACCGCACAAAAAAGACCCGCTAGAAAAACACATAAGGTCAAAGCAAGAAACATCTTCTCGAGTCCAAGTATCTCTTCATCCAATTGCTGACGCACAGCTTGGGGAACCTCTGCATGACATGCACCTGCGTGGAGCAAAAAGCCATTCAACCACAGCATCTTTTTTGCTGTTGCGGTTCCATATGGACAGCTCGGATTGTTTTTGCTATGCCACGCCGGCTTCTGCTTTCCCCAAGTGAGACATGTGACATGCCAAGGTCATCCCCGGCCGTCCCCCGAATCCCATGACCAGAAGGTCGCACATCTAAGCTAGTCAAAATGGCATCTGGTCTCATCCTTGGTTGGATCCAATGGTTTGGAAAGAAGATAAATTGGGAAAAACAAGAACTTGAATTACTCCAAGTGGCAAAATCAAGAGCTTTGGATGGCCATCTCTCGTACCACAGCCCGGGCTTGAGCACGGATTAGCTTCGAAGCTGAGAATTCCTTCGTGCTTGTCCATCTCCTTTTGGAACTGCGCGTCACTCAAGTTCTCCACATCAGCACCCGTCAGAGCATCCAGATGCTTCTGCAGCAGAACCTGGCTTTGACAGCAAGGTAGTCCGTAGAGGCTCATTCTTTGGAAGGTCCATAGCCAGGCTATCGCAAGCAATTGCCTCCCTTTTCAGGTCACCGCCTTGGATCTTGACATAACAAAGAATGACAGCAACACTACTTGCAAAAGACACATGCAATTTCAAGGGCCAAGGGGCACAGTTTCTCATACTTCTCATCCCAACTGAGCTCTTCTTGAGGGCCAGGTTTGGTCTTAGCCTCAGCCTTTGCTTTCTTCTGGGGCTTTCTCTTTGTTGCAGGA